CTGAAAATTAGAATGGAATTATGAAATCTATAATTATAGGATTTAATTAGGTTAGGAATTAAACTGTAATTTTTTTTAACATTAATTTAGTCAAAAGGCTGATATATAGCTGACATTTAAGGAAGTATCAAATACAATATAGCAAACTTCAATTTAAATATTTATTTCTAACATATATCGCATTCGAGCTCATATTAAATGCAAATTTGGAATCAGATGATTATGTTTAGGCTTTTATTTTATTTTATCTGAAGTAACTTATACTAATAATTTTTATTAGCTGAAGCAATTTCTTGATGACTACGTGTCAAATTTTTTTTTAATGGGTGTCTTCACCTCTTTGAACGAGGATAATCCACTTCGTGATATAAAATATAGAGGTTTGTATGATTAGTCTCAAGTAGGGGTGTAAATGGACTACGTCGGCCTACAAGGACTTATGGCCTAGCCTATATTAGACCAGACTTGGCCTATTATAAATAATAAAACAGAACATGTCTAGGCTTTTAAAAAAACATATTTAAAAAATAGGCCATAGACTTTTGTGTATATGTCGGGCCTATAAGCCTACAGGCCGGCCTATATCATATTATTTTTTTAAAATAAAATAAATAAAATTATTATTTTAATAATTTTGAATAATAAAGTAATATTATTTTAGTTATTCTTTTAATTATTGAATGTTCAATAGGTTTAAACAGGCTAACAGGCTTAGGCCAAAGCTGTTATTTTTTAAATATAAGTAAGTCCAGACTTATAATTTGGGACCTACACAAGCTAACAGGCCAGGCTAGACCAAACATTTTTTACACAGGCCTGACCTATTTAAGCCAAAACCTAGCCTAGCCTAACCTATTTACACTTTTTTTTTTGTTGTTGTTGATAAACAACCTATTTACACCCTTAGTCCCAAGTAATTTCGCCTAAAAATTAAACTAAAAACCTTTTAACTTTGTTTTTTGTTGGGTACTAGTAGGGTTGTAAATAAGCTAGGCTGGCCTACAAGTAGGGTGTAAATGGGTCAGGCTGACCCAACCCAGCCTACAGCCCGGCCTACATTGAGCTTGGCTCAGGCCCGGCCTTTCAGAAAAGTAGAGTAGGCTTAAGCTTATAAAAAAGTTTTTTAACAAATAGGCCATAGGCCAATTTTGTTAAGCCCGGCCTACAGCCTTGTAGGCTGACCTATTTAATTTATTAAAATAAAATAATAAAATAATATTTATTTTATGTGGCAAAGACGCAAAGTACCAAATACCAATATCTCTTACTTTTTGTGCTATTTTATTTTACGAAAGGAAAACTTGTCTAATGTCTCCAAATTTTACATGCTGTTGCAGCTTAATACCATGGAGTAATGAGTACCTTGCTGGATTATGATGTTATTGATGAAGATCTTTCAATAATACTCTTCTTTCCCTTGTCTTGATGGTGGTTTAAAGATTTTTAGATAAATGACATTCTCTTGTAGACTTTATTTCAGCATCCGGTAATTGTATTTTTCTTATTTTCTCCATTTTTTTTGACTCTATTCCTCTATGATATATATTCTAGAGCTGGGGTATTATGTTGACTCTTTCTTGTTTGTCATTTTTTTCTTATGAGAAATACTAGTGCATGCATGAATGGAACTTTTTTTGCTCTATACAATTATTTTTTTTGCTTAGTATCTACAGTGGGATGCCTACAAGGCCTGTAGGCCATGTCAGGCTTTCTTATTTGTAAAAATAGGCCGAGCTTGGCCTACAAATAAAGCCTTTAATAGGCCAGATAGGCTGAATTTTTTTTGACGTAGGCTTGGGCCAAAAAGGTCAAAGCCCAGCCCATTTACACCCCTACCTACAAGGGCCAATGATTTAGCTTATATTAGGCCAGACTTGACCTATTATAAATAATAAAATAGAACAGGTCCAGGCTTTTAAAAAAACTTATTTAGGAAACAGGCCATAGGCTTTTTTGTACGTGTCGGTCGGGCCTATAAGCCTACAGGCCAGCCTATATCATATTATTTATTTAAAATATAATAAATAAAATTATTATTTTAATAATTTCGAATAATAAAATAATATTATTTTAGTCATTCTTTTAATTGTTGAATGTCTAAAGGCTTAAACAGGCTAACAGACCTAGGGCAAGACTTTTATTTTTTAAATATAGGTAAGATTAGACTTGTAATTTGGAGCCTACACAGGCTAATAGGCCAGTCCATTTCCAATATTTTTTATACAGACCTAATCTATTTAAGCCAAAATCTAACTTAGTCTAGCTTATTTATATCCTTAGGTAGTAGCATGTTTCAACATTAAATAAGAAGCTACCTACTCAATTACAAAAGAAATAAGGAAAATTGACATAAATAGTATTGCTTAAGTAAAAAATATTGTAATTTGTTGTTTCTCTAAATATAGAAAAGAGGAGAAAAAAGGTGTAGTGGGGCTTGATACTTTTCCTCTATTAAAGTTACTAGCAAGCAATTAAGCAGGACCACACACATTAGGCTTTATGGCAAATTACATGAATGATAGTAGCATTAGCCGGTGACCGACCTTTCTCAGTTTCTCTCTTTTTGGCATCCAATCCTCACAATCACCTTGTTCCGTTGCCAACCCTTTTCCCTTTCTGTCATCTCTTCAAATCAGAAACCCGCAAGTAAATGCATTTCACTATGAAAAAACCATATAGCCAAATAAGAAACCAATAAGAAACCAATAAGAAACCAAATGTTAGAGATATAAAATGACCAGCATTAACAATAAATTAAGGGATAGGATATCGTAACAATTAATTAATATTATTACTAATATTATTACCAATCAATTTTGTCGTTAGATCGATTATATTTATTTCCATCTTTGTATGGTAAAACATTAAATATGGAGAACCATAACCATACAAAGATAAAAATAAATATAAAGCATTAAATATGGAGAATCATAAACATACAAAGATAGAAATAAATATAACAGTTGAATCAACATAATCGATCTAACGGTAAAATTGATTGATAATAACACTAATTAATTGTTACAATATCCTTCCCTATAAATTAATAGGAATAACATCTGTCATTTTAAAAGATAGAAACTTATATCATTTTAGATCCTAACCGTTGATTTCCGTCCATCAACGGTTATAATCTATTGGGTCAAACTTAATGGGTCAAATAATTAATTAATTAATAAATTATTATTAATAAATTTGGCCCATTAAGTTTGACCCAATAGATTATAACCGTTGATGGACGGAAATCAACGGTTAGGATCTAAAATGATATAAGCTTATATCCTTTAAAAGAATAGATATTTTTCCCTAAATTAATAAATAAAACTTTTTACATGCATATTCCTGAGCATTCACCTACCAAGAAAAAAACTATGGAAGAAAGAATAATTACCTTTTTCTCTTCCTCCTGTGATAGATGATTAGAAAAAGGGACCTTACTACTTTAACTAAGGGAGTAAAAAAATGGTATGATTGGAATCAAATCATAAACCGAAACTGCATTATAAATAATTACATTTTTTAAACGATTTAATAATTAATATGTTATTTTTCGTCAAATTGATTATCAATTCGATTCAGATTTTAATAAAAAATAAAATCGAATTGAATTATATCATATTTAAAAATGTAAAAATAAAATTATAAGAATCATACCAAATTAAACTGCATTATGAATAATATTATTTATTTTGAACAAGAAGAATTAACATATTTCTGTACTAATTTAAAAATCAAATTTTTTTTCTAAAATGATTTGTTCAGTTTTGAGGAAGGTTGTTGAATCGCAATACGTATCATGTATCGCGAATCGTAATATATAGAAATATAATAAAAAATAATGTAAAAATATTAATACAATTAATATCATATAAATCCAAATTCTAAAAATGATTCAATAAACAAAATATATAAGTAATTAAAGTGCAAATCAATTATTTTCCTACTCATCAATCGAGACTAATATTATTAGTTATTACTACTATTACTATCACCATCTATGAGAGATATAACTAATCCATTATCCTCTTCAAAAAATGATCCTTTTAGATTTTTTTAATTTAAATTGTAAATCAAATTTTTATTTATATAAAAAATTATATATTTTAATTTAATTTTCATATCGCATGAATACATGTCGTATCGTATCGTAAAATACAGTATTGTATCATTCGATACAAATTCTTTTTTAATACATCCCACAATATATATTGCTGGACTTATAAATCATATCGTATGATATGAATCAGATCGTGTATCGTGAGATTTGACATAGAAAACCCAAACTAACAAACTAAACCGAAGTATCCTAACTCTACCTTTTACAGTTTTAGTTTCACCATTTCCATTTTTTTTTTAACCGTGTTTGATTAATTGCCACCTTTCAATCCATCTAAAACTTTCTCAAGTTTAAAGATTTTAAACAAAGTTTCACTTAATTAAATCTTCACCTACTATTAGTACCCTTTTCATTGTTCTGCTATCTACTTAAGCCCACAAAATGGCACCTGAAGCAGACTCAGAGAGCAACGGAGAGACTCAATTCTCAATTTAACACTTGAGATTTTTCACCATTGCTGGCCCAAACCCTCACAAAGTAATTAAGCTTGTGTAACGAGCCATGAGGAACATTAAAAAAGGAAAAAGAAAAAAAAAGAAATCAACATTATTTATTTGAGAAAGAATATTATCACTATTAAAATTTTTTACTATTAACTTACTACTTATCTAATCATTATTAGATTAATATTTTCTCTTTTTTCAAACACTTTTTAACATTCTCTCTTTAATCTAATAGTGATGTGATGGATAATAAATTAATAGTGAGAATTTTTAATAGTTAGAATATCCTCACTATATTTATTTTGGGAGACTTAAAAAGAAAATATTAAAATTGCAGTTTTACAGTTCATATGTGTGCTGTAGTGTGTGGGGTGCAATTTTGTTGCCCGTTAGTGATTAGCACGCCTGGCATTTCCATCATTCCCTCCCTTTCTCTCTCTTTCTTTCTCTTACCTCATCACTTCTTTTTTCCTTTCTTTTCTTTTTCTATTCTTTTTCCCTCTAATATTCCTTGTTTCTCTCTCTAGAATCCTTCTTCAGTCTCCTCTCCACTCTCCTCTTCTTTCTCTCTCTCTCTAGCTTTCCTCCTCCTCCTTTTTCCTTCCATTTTCAGCTTCCTCTAAGACCCTCTGATTGGATCTGCTGCTAGCTATTAGTCAACTTTTTTATTTTTTATTTTTTGCTGAATTTCGATTCCGGTTTTCTCAGCTTGAGGTCGTGGTTTTTTCGTTCTTGGTTTCTCGAATTTTCTGTTTTGCTGAATCGGATAAAGACAAAATCGATTGCTACTGTCTCTGCTTCTGTTCCAGGTATGGAGGCCTTGAATCCGTTCTCGCTGTTTTGATTTTAGTATTTTTTTTTCTCCCTTTCTGAAGTTGCTTGCGTTTTGCTTGAATTTTGATCCGGTTCCCGATTGGTCTGGCATGCATTTTTTTTTTTTCTTGTTTTTCGGATTTCGAAATTTAAGGTACTTTTTTTTTTTTGAAATTAGAAGATGTTGTTGAGGTTTGTAACTTTGGAAAATGGAACATCCTTGGCAAGTGATTCAGTTTTTTTTAGGATGTTGTGTTTTCGGGATCAGCTCAAGTGTTGTGGTGTTTATTGTTATGTGTGCATACGTGCGAGCTTCCTAGGTATATGGGTAGCTGTAATGTAGTTTATTATTATAATTTATTATTATACGATGGTATTTGCAAATGTGTATCTGTAATTTCATTGCATGTGGATGCGTTGGGCTGTGTCATCTACGTGGAGAATTCTGAGGATTTTGGTCTTCTTTCACTTTTCTACACATACTTCTTCGAGTGTATACTGGATGCTTTTGTTTTTTGTTTCTCTGATGCAGCTTCGGCGTTGGATCAATCATCCTATATAAATAAATAAATAAAATTTGTTTTCCTAGAATAGTAGTGTTAGAGAATAATATAAACCATTAAAAAGGTTCCCACCTAATAGCTTAAGCTTTTTAGTTAAATTGATTCTTTACATGGTATCAGAGCCTCCATGACCAAGTGGTATGAGTTTAATCCTCACTTCTCCTATTTAATTAATAATTAATTAAGTGTTGTGGAGTTTGTGAGCACATGTAGGTGAGCCTGTGCATTGTCCACCCTTTAAGTCCAGTGGGTTCTCGTGTGAGGGTTCTCGTGTGAGGGGGCGTGTTAGAAAATAGTATAAACCATTAAAAAGGCTCTCACCTGATAGCTTAAGCTTTTGGGTTGAATTGGTTCTTAACAAGTAGAATTGCTATTACTATTAATAGGCTTCTCTTCCAATGGCAACTCTCCTCGTACAAGTGATATTCTGCGCAGTGCAGTGCAAAGCCTTTGTTTCATGCAAATGTACGGATATGTGCTGTTTGTGTGGTTGTTTTTTTTCATGTACTAGTATCACACAGCTTAAACTTGATGTAAAATGGTGCTCCCAAATAATTTAGATCTAGTTGGCATGCAGAACAGACAGGTTGGCAAAAGGTGTAATTTTCTTTTAGGTTATTGTCATGTTTTAAGGCAACTTCAAACTACAAGGCATGCGTACTTACCGAAAATACAATTTATTTTGTGTATTCGATGTCTGTGAACAATGAGTATGTAGTTGCTGACAATGACATGCTTAGGAATGTGTTCCGAGTCTTCGTTGTGGCTTGTGATACATCAGTATTAACTTATGGATCATGGATATAGGTAAATAAGTTCGTAATGTACTTGAATTCCTATTGCTAGATGAGAGAAGATATGTCTTAAGGTGAAGAGGTTATATCTTATATGAGGGTTGGTGAATGATTCATGACCCTTACTTTAGAACATGTGACTATTAACATCAGCTGGTGATGTATCCGGAAGATTCTTACTATATTGAAGAGTTGAACATAACGGAGAGGAATTTAAGATAATAGTGAGCTTTACTGTATCTCAGGGAACACAAGATCATTTACTTGTAGCATAAATTAACAGCAATACTTTGGCTAGCTTGCTGTTTTATTTTTTATTGCTTTTGCCTGGTAAATTTTTCAAAGGATCAACTAGTGATGTAAACCTTATGTGTACTCTATTTTCATCTCCTGATACTCTACTGTCCAAATAAATTTTCTTCTGAACCAGAATTTTCTAGTTAAAACAACTAGTAGAAGCATTTGCATTTCCTTTTTCACCCACTATTATGGCAGCTTCAGCATATTAACACTTCGATCTTGCTTTTCTATTCACTCATTATATCATTTCTGGTTGCCTTTCAGGTTATTTATTGCTAAATTTAAGCTAGGTTTTGAAGGACCAAATAGTAGAAGAATATTATGGCCGTTTCCATGAGAGATTTAGATTCAGCTTTCCAGGGAGCTGGACAAAAGGCGTATCCTGCATCTAGTTAATATATCTTGTTGTTTACAATTTATCCAATTTTCATTTATACAAGATTTGTTCAAGGTATCTGCTTCACTTGGTTCTGTTCTATGCTTAATTTGATTTCACGCTTTGATTTTCTCCCAGTGCTAGTTCATCATTCTCCTTAACCATATATAGTGGACTTGAAATATGGCGTATTGAGAATTTTAATCCAGTTCCAGTCCCTAAGTCCTCTTATGGGAAGTTTTTCACTGGGGACTCCTATGTGATCTTAAAGGTAAGCCATATTTTCCAAGTGATTATTCATTCATACAATGCTAGCCTCGTGTTGATATCTTCTTTTTCAGGATGTTTTTATTTCTGTTTATTATTGTATTGCATGGACATTGTAATTTAAAAACAATTGCTGTTCCCAGCATGAAAAAAATCACATTATTGGCATGTGAGATTGATTTCAGCCTACATTTCTCTTTGGAAAACATTCATTATGGAACTTGTATACATGTTTCAGTTTAGGTACAGAATGTGTCCTCAGATTAAAAGAACGACGCTGGTATTTACAAAATATATTATTCTCTATAAATCATGTACGAACGTGAGTTTAGCTAAAGGACGTTGTTGGCTTCATTCTCAGTCCTGTTCATTTTTCTTTGGAAAACATTCATTATGGAATTTCTATAAAGTTTGTAGTTTTGGTGAAGAAGGTGTCCTTAGGTTAAAAGAATGATTTCACAATATGTATTATTTTCTCTTAATCATATGTAAGCATGAGTTCTGATAAATGACATTGTTGACTTCTTTCCCATGAGCTTCGTTTTCCCCTTGCTGAGTCTTTGATTCAAGTTTCAATATATTCCTCGAAAGCACTTATTTTGGCTAGAATTACATTATTCTCTCTCTCTCGTTTTTTTTTTCTTTGACTTTTGTCCATAAGTGCTAATCCAGCAGTTTTTACTTTTAATTAAGTTGCGTGTGCATACTGCATCATATATGAAGCAGAAATTTTTATCAGTGTGAATATTTTCTTATTTCTGATCCTTTCTGTGTAGACAACTGCGTCAAAAAGTGGTGCTTTGCGTCATGACATCCATTACTGGCTTGGTAAAGACACCAGTCAGGTAAAGTTATTGCTATTATTGTTTTTTGGGTTATAGATTTTTTTTTGTAACTTATTTCCCCTACTTCTCTGGTGTGACATTAGTTGTAATTGGTGTATGCTTGCTATCATATGACTGTAATTTTAAAACAGGATGAAGCTGGTGCGGCAGCCATCAAGACAGTTGAGCTGGATGCAGCTCTCGGAGGACGTGCTGTTCAGTATCGTGAAGTACAGGGCCATGAAACTGAAAAGTTCCTGTCTTATTTCAAACCATGTATTATACCTCAAGAAGGTGGAGTTGCTTCTGGTTTTAAACATGCCGAGGCTGAAGAACATAAGACACGATTGTTTGTATGCAGAGGGAAACATGTTGTGCACGTCAAAGAGGCAAGTTTGACATTTTTCCCCTGCCATTGAGATTTGAGTCTTGTAGGTCATTATTGTGCACACTAGATGAGACACACACATAGATAGAAACATTGTTTTCTTCTCGTTGAGTAACCGTTTCTGTTGTTTATAGGTTCCGTTTGCTCGATCTTCACTCAACCATGACGATATTTTTGTTCTCGATACTGAGTCAAAAATCTTTCAATTTAATGGTTCCAATTCATCTATTCAAGAAAGGGCTAAAGCTTTGGAAGTTGTACAGTATATTAAGGATACCTACCATGAGGGGAAATGTGAGATAGCTGCTATTGGTAAGTGGACAAGTATATTTTGAAGTTTTAAGGGTGATTACTGATTATTACGAATTGAATGTTTATACTTGAACTTCCATGCAGAGGATGGAAAGTTGATGGCTGATCCTGAAACTGGAGAATTCTGGGGATTCTTTGGGGGATTTGCTCCTCTTCCACGAAAAACAGCCAGCGATGATGACAAGCCTGCTGATTCTCGCCCTCCAAAGCTGCTTTGGTAATATGTTATTTCAGTTTTCCCTCTGGTATTTTTGTATGTGCTTGCACTACCAGTATATTCCATTAATTTTTAGGGAAATGATATTTGGATGAAATTCATTAATATTTACGTGTTTGTAATTTTCTTCTTTTACCTATTGTTTTTGGGGTAAATTGTTCAAATATTGCAATAATTAATTGAAAAAATGTTGGATTCTATTATTCTCTAGTTATAATGAAATTATCAATTTTGCAGTTTTGAAAAGGGACAGGCAGAACCTGTTGAGACTGATTCTTTAAAAAGGGAATTACTAGACACGGATAAATGCTATATTCTTGATTGTGGGTTGGAAGTGTTTGTCTGGATGGGAAGAAACACCTCTCTTGATGAAAGAAAAAGTGCAAGTGGAGCTGCAGATGTAACACCTGATTTTTATTTTATTTTATTTTTTAATTTTCAGTATGGTTTAGCATTATTCTGTAAGTTTTAATTACTGTTGATTTGCTGTTGACCAACATACAGGAGTTAGTTAATGGCACTGATCAGCTGAAACCACAAATAATTCGTGTAATTGAAGGATTTGAGACAGTGATGTTCAGGTCCAAGTTTGATTCTTGGCCTCAGACCACTGATGTAACAGTATCTGAAGATGGTCGTGGCAAGGTTGCAGGTAAGTGTTAAATAATTTTACAGTTGTTACTCTGGCCTGAATAGATTCTCTGAATAATAAATTTTTGTCACAGGCATCATTGATCATATATATTGGCAATTTGGCATCATGTCATCCCATTTTTTTTCTTGTTTATGACTTTGTAGCACTTCTTAAACGTCAAGGAGTGAATGTAAAGGGTCTGTTGAAAGCTGATCCAGTAAAGGAAGAACCTCAACCCTACATCGATTGCACAGGACATTTGCAGGTACTCTGCTAGTTGCAAATCATCCATCAAAACTGATATTTCTTGATGTTACTTTTCTTAGTTTCGCTTCTAGCAGTTTTCTTATTGGTTTATATCCTGTGTAATTGAATTCTTCTAATGAGAGAATCTTTTAGAATTATCACAAGACCCTTAAAGCTCCCACAATTTCCCCATCCTAAAGATGCCCCCCATAATGAGAAGCAAAATATGTAGTCTTGTAGTACGTAAGAGCTGTGCTGTATTCTATAATATACTTGGGATATGTTAACCTTCGACTACATTATGTTCATTTTGATTTAATTGAGTAGCTGCATAATATCCTCTGTAAGAAATGAATTTATAATTATGGAAAGGATTTAGTGTAGGTTGAGGGTAGCTTGCCACTTCCTACACAAATTGGAATGTGTAAAATAGGAAACCTGTTAATAGAGAGGAAAGAGAAGCATATGCTGAAAACTGTATGTCTCAACTTCACTATGGACTCATGTATTTATATAATGATTATAATAATTAGAAAGTTTCAATTTTCATATTATAGTAAATAGAAAGTTTCAATTTTCATATTACTATACTTACATGATACACTGAACTTAGACACTTACACTGAATCTAGACATAATGATGCACATCTCGATCACTCCCCCTCAAGCCGGGGCATATAGGTCATATGCGCCATGCTTGTTACCAAAATAAATTATCTGAGGACCTCTCTAAAATTTGGTTAGAACATCTACCAATTGATTATTTGAATTATAAAACTAGTTTTGGTTGTGGTTTGTTTAATTCCAACATTCCTTTTTTTTTTCCTGCTGTTTACAATAACTTCACTCGAATCGCACAGGTTTGGCGCGTGAACGGTCAGGAAAAGATTCTTCTTTCAGCTTCTGATCAGTCAAAATTCTACAGCGGAGATTGCTACATCTTTCAGTATTCATATCCTGGAGAAGATAAGGAAGATTATCTTATAGGAACGTGGATTGGAAAGAATAGTGTTGAGGTGAAAGATTTAGTGTTTAATTCTCACTTGTGATTTGAATATAAAAAATAACATATAATCTGGCACAAAAATGTGGACCTGTAGCTGAAAAATATATTAGCAGTTAAATTAATCTGCAAGTCCCTGTATGTTTTGAGAATTTTTAAATAGGTTCCTAATGTTTAAAAACTATAATTAGGTCCCTATAATAATAATAATAATAATAATAATAATAATAATAATAATTATTATTATTATTATTTTTTTTTTTTCAATTAGGTCCTTGAAGGGACCTAAGTGACTTGCAGATTAATATAACCTATATTAGTCAATCATAGCCTTATGTTTTGGGACCAGAAAGTATTAAATAAATTTGTATTTGGAGTATGTAAATTAATCTACTGCCTGCACTGTTTACAATCTCTTTAATTATAAATAGGAAGAAAGAGCTTCAGCTAATTCACTTGCAAGCAAAATGGTTGAGTCAATGAAGTTTCTGGCTTCCCAGGTAATTTTTCTGGAAATTGCATCTTTTTCACTTTGTTGATATACTATTTGTGCGCATTTCTTTTCTCCTTACTGATATTTTGCATGTCTAATTGACTGTAGGCTCGTATATATGAAGGCAATGAACCAATTCATTTTCATTCTATCCTCCAAACCTTCATTGTTTTAAAGGTTTGTGGGATTCTGATATTGTGAGAACTAAAAGAAAATCACCCTTGTTATATATATGTATGTTTGTGTGTGTATATATATATATATATATATATATATATATATATATATATGACTGTGGCCATGTAACTATTTATTTTTCCTTTTTAATCAGGGTGGGCTTAGTGATGGATATAAGACTTACATTGCGGAAAAGGAAATTCCAGATGAGACATACAATGAGGATGGTGTTGCATTATTCCGCATCCAGGGCTCTGGACCGGACAATATGCAAGCCATACAAGTTGAACCAGTATGTCATTTTTTCTCTTTGTAGTGGTTGCTTGTCTATCCACTCATTCGTATTGGCAACACACACATTTGACTCTGTTTATGTAATAAAATTTTCTTTTCATATTCTTTTGTCAACCAGGTTGCTTCTTCCTTGAATTCCTCTTATTGTTACATACTTCATAATGGGCCTACTGTCTTTACTTGGTCTGGAAGCTCAACAAGCGCAGAAGACCAGGAACTAATAGAGAGGATGCTGGATTTGATAAAGGTCTGATATCTGCTAAGATATACTTATTCAGAAAATTTTAATGCGTCTAAACAAACACAAAGAAGATAGCTTTTTTTTTTTTGTGGTTCAAATTAATTGTGTTGGACAAGCAGCTATATGTTGGTGAAGTTTTATATGCTTTTATGTTGAAAATGGTTAAATATATGGTTATTGCCATTTAGGGCTCTAACCCAGCGGCACTAGTATTGCCTCTGTTGTCACAGGAGTTTTGGGTTCCATGCTAGCCAGTGCCATTTCCCCCAATCCCATTTTGCAGCCAGGAAATTAGTTGTATGAAAAAAAAAAAAAAATCACTTATAATGTTAATCAATGCATATTTGTGAAGTTTAGTCTTAATTTCTGTGCAAAGACATCAATTTCAAGTTTTTAAACTTTCAAATGTTTAAAGAGATTATTGTAAAATATATTTGTTATCTTTGTTTTGTCAGGTTTCCCTGTTTATCTTGTTCTCATATGCTTGCCAATTTTCTGCAGCCAAATTTACAATCCAAACCACAAAGGGAAGGTACAGAATCAGAACAATTTTGGGATTTGTTAGGAGGAAAATCGGAATATCCCAGTCAAAAGATTATTAGGGAAGCTGAAAGTGATCCTCACCTATTTTCTTGCAACTTCTCTAAAGGTAAGGGATCATTTTCTTGCTTGCTGGAAAAATTTATCTCAGCACCCTCCCCCTTTTGAAGGCAAACAGCTGACTTGTTTATGATGGTTTTCTTCTGCTGCCTGACTGAGCAATGTGCAGGAAATTTAAAGGTCAGTACATCCACTGATCTATTAGCTTTAGTCACCATATATACGTGATTTTGGAATTTATGGAGATCCAGTGGTATGAAGGCATATCGAAGTAGTCCTTGTCGCCTTAAAAAATATTTCGCTTGTAACGTGTAGGTTGCTTGTCATATAAAGAAAAGCTTAATGATACCATCCATTTTAAGCACAAGTGATGGGTGATTAATTAGATTGAAATAAAAACTAGTTTGATCAACCTGATATTGTTGGAAAAACATAAATGATAATCCCAGTACTCAAGAATGATGGCCAATGGAAAGCTGCAAAGCAGGGACAAAATATAGTTTTTTTAAGACACGTTATCCAACATTGGTTGTACTGTAGATCAAATCTGAGACAGGAAAGTGATAGTTACTGGTATTCACAATGGATCAGTATGAAAAACTGGGAGCACTGCTCCTGTTACAATGGTAAAAACAGAAGAAAATGTAGAGACAAGCATGAGAAAAACAGAAAGAACAAATATGAGAAGCAGGGAGCTATCTCTGCCCCAAGGCCTTAGCCACCCCTGACTTCCTTGCCGGTTATCTACTTATCTCTCCTCCCCAACCTCTTCCCTCCACATTCACATCTTCTCCCATGATTCCAACATGCTTCTCTCCAATCCTTGGCTGCCTGTGTGCCCTTTCTGTTAGACTTCTATCTTTCCTCCAAAACAGATTCGTCCACCAACTCCTTTGCATTTCTGTTCCTGAACCTGATCCCTTTCTTCCTTCTCTGATATACGTGCATAGGAGGCCCATCAGAAGGACATTATCAGGTGTTGAATAAGTTCTTTATAATGGCATTCAGTCTGTACTAATATAGTCATATTACTCAATTAGATGTTCTGTCATCTTTATTAAAAGGTTAATTTCCCAGACAGCAAAGAGTCAAACTTATATTACTACTTGTATTATCAGCTGCAAAATAGAGTATGTTAGAATGTTTAGAAAATATCTTGATTGTATCTTTGGGTAATTTAGATTTTAGAGTATTTTTTATTATTTCTTAGGAGTGGTTTTCATATTTAATTATATTTCATGAGTTGTTTCCTTATTTATGGCTTCCTTGGGCTGCATTTCTCCATGTATAACACTTCCACCTGACATGTTCTCTCTATCCATTAAGTTTGACGTGTTTGGGCTATTTCTTGGCATTCTTGTGGTGATTATCTCTGGTTTGTCATTATTTTGATTACTGTTTGGCTCTTTTTCAAATTGAGGGGAGAAAGTTAAGAAGTGTTGTGCCGTGTTTTGGAGTCTGGCCCTACCATCTTTGTCTCCAGTCCTAGATGTAGTATGGCCTCGTCTCAGTCCTAGCTTTTATTTGCAAGTTTTTATTTCCTTCTATTTGAAGCTTGGAACTATTGTTGTTAGGGGTGTTCGCGGTATGGATTGGATCGGTTTTGAAGCAAAAATAATCCGATCTAATCCTTTCGGTTTGATTATTTAATCATCCATTCGGTTTGGATTTTTTTTAAAATCCAATCCAATTTTATTCGGTTTGAGTTGGATCGGTTTTTGGTTTTTCGAAAAGCCTAAAATTTCAGTCATACAAATCAATAGTTACATCAAAATAAAGTCATTCAAAGTTACAAACCACTAAAAAATCAAGTCTTCAAACTAAAACAAGTCTTAAAACTCATGAAGAGTTAAAATAGATTAATATACAATAAAAAACTAAAACAAGATAGTTTGCTATCAATAACATCTAAGATTCCAAGTCTACAAAACAACAAGCATGTCACTATTTTTCGAAAATAATAAATACATAATACATTGGATTGGTTTTCGCCAACCAAACCGAAAACCGATTCAATCCAATTAAAATATACGGATTTTTTTTTCGGTTTTTCCGTTCAGTCACCATGGTTTGAATCAGTTTGGATCGGTTGATGAACACCTGTAGTTGTTGTTGATAAACTTGGAGAAGTTTTAGCTTTTTGTCTCTATAAGTGCTTGCTAGGATATTTCCACCAATGATCATTGTGCTAAGTCTCTTCTTTCTTGGTCATACAACATTCCAATTAGCTCTATAGATCGATCTCTTCTTTCTTGGTCATACAACATTCCAATTAGCTCTATAGATCGATGATTTTTCTAGCCATCTTACTGAGTTATCTTTTCAGTATGCTCATCTCTAATGTATTTAGCATCTCCCGGTTGCCTTTCTAGGCATGTTTTGAGGAGCCCAGATTATACACACCCACACACATTCAAATTAGTTTTATAGACCAATGATTATTTTTGCCATCTTGCTGAGTTATCTTTCGAATAATGCCCATCTCTCTCTGATGTCTTTAGCATCCCCCGGTTGCATTTTCAGTCATGTTATGAGGTGCCCAGATTTTATTTATTTACATATAGCATGATAAGAGGGTGATCCTGAAGTAGTGGTAAAGCTACTCCTTTGTGACCGAAAGGTCATGAGTTCGAATCCGGGAAACAGCTTCTTTGCAAATATGCAAGGGTAAGACTGTGTATAAAGATTGTCCTCACCCCTATCCTTTCTAGTTGGGGTTTAATGGGGAGTGGTGTTTATATATAGCGTGATCAATGTAAATATAGCGTAGCGTGTTAGGACATGATCCCTGCAAGATGGTTATGGCCATCACGGGTTCTTTAAAAGACTTGCTTTGGGTGAAAAATGCTGACAAAAAGTCTGGTCAATGTGCTATGGATCACTTTTTTGATACCTCAGTTCATACTAAAAGCACAGTTATGAAATCTTATGTGTGAATTTACTCGTGTGCTATACTGCTTAAGAAGATACAATTACTTGGATTTATTTCTGCAGCTGTGTATTAATCTGAAGCAATATTTTCAGGTGACAGAGGTATACAACTTCTCCCAGGATGATTTGATGACGGAAGACATTTTCATATTGGATTGTCACTCAGAAATCTTTGTCTGGGTTGGGCAGCAGGTTGAACCCAAGAGTAGAATGCAGGCTTTAACAATTGGTGAGGTATAACTGAATTTGCTGGAAGCCATAAGCATACTAGTATAATTTAATAGCTGTATTTGAAGACTTCGTTATGTCTTCTTAGTTATTTCAATGTTTATGTAAGTCCTTTGACATCCTATATCATTACAAAATCGTGAGATTTTAACTTAAAGTATTTCATGTCCTTTACATCATGGATTTTTACATCTATTAGAATTTCTAAAGTCGGGTGGATTTATTGACTCATTCTTTTGAATTGAGCAGAAATTTCTTGAGCACGATTTTCTTCTAGAAAAATTATCTCGTGTGGCTCCAGTATATGTTATTATGGAAGGGAGTGAGCCACCATTCTTCACACGCTTCTTTAAATGGGAGTCTGCAAGATCTGCTGTAAGTTTCTCAACATAATGATATGACTTCTGATTGTCTTGAAATCCTTGCTATGGACAATTCCTTTTTACTTTGCAGATGCTGGGCAACTCATTTCAAAGGAAGCTTACAATCGTGAAAAATGGGGGTGCTCCACTTTTGGATGTAAGGCATTTGTTTTTTGTTGTTTCCTTTACAATCACTAATGAAATGTTCCTTTTCTTGTTATTAATATTCATTCAAACTCATTTTTCTAATCAAGTTTTCAATGTTCTTGTTCTTTTTAGCAGTTTAGTGAGTTAAATGCTACTTCTACGTCAAAAGGATTTTTCTTAACCCATTTTTTAAATCTAAATTATTGTAGGTACAATAACAAAAATTTTTAAAGTAAGGATTCATAATAACTGCAACTAATTTAGGCTGTGTGGATAGATGTTTAACAGACTAAAGTAGTGATTTAGTTATGCATTTTAGTGGCCATTATGTAAATAAATTGAATACTGAAGTGTGGCAAAATAAATGATATTATGGAAATAAACAGCTTCTTTTATGCAATTAATTATTGCCTAAACTTTTATTATAGCTTCAAGAACTTGTAAGCATGCTTTCCAAATGCTGCATTTAATATTTGTAGGTTGTTTCGAAATTAAAGTAGATGGATTGATTGAATATGTGTGTGTGTTTTACTACTTTGAACCTGACATCAATATCACACCCTATCACACCCAATTATGAAGGCTCTGGCCAGTGCCATTGCTATTGAATATTTCAAGGATGTGTTCTTGCTGCTGGTCCTTGATAGTGGGTGAATATAGGCCTGAGGCCTGAGGGGGTGTTAGATATAATTACATGATGTAGATGTAACCCTTAATATTTTGGACTTCAACTGAAGTGTATCTAAGAGCATGCTAATGTACTTCTTTTTCTTTTAATTTGCTCTGACCTTCTACTTTGGAGGGAGAATATTTGAGTCCAAATATGTTTTATTTGTGTTTGCATTTGTTCTGTTTGGTTTCTCAATGCCCAATACATTATCAGAAACCCAAACGGAGAACATCTGCATCTTATGGGGGAAGGTCTAGTAGTGTGCCAGACAAATCCCAGCGTTCCTCTCGCAGCATGTCTGTCAGTCCTGATCGAGTTCGTGTGAGGGGCAGGTCTCCTGCCTTTAATGCACTTGCAGCTAATTTTGAGAACCCTAATGCTAGGAACCTTTCAACTCCGCCTCCAGTAATTAGAAAGCTGTATCCAAAATCAGTGACGCCAGATTCTGCAATACTGGCACCAAAATCTTCAGCTATAGCAGCACTTAGTTCTAGTTTTGAACAACCTCCTTCAGCACGAGAAAGTATGATACCTCGGTCACTTAAAGGTAAACAACAGATAAGATAATTTAACGTCCTGCCTCCTTCCTTTGAATGGTGATTTGAGTATCATAATTTACTTTAATGCAATATGCTTTCTGTTCTCTGCGTTGTCATATTGTGAAGTGAGTCCAGTTACCCCCAAATCAAACCCTGAGAAAAACGACAAGGATAATTCTGTGAGCGGCAGAGTGGAATCTCTTACCATACAGGAAGATGTGAAAGAGGGTGAAGCTGAAGATGAGGAAGGTCTCCTGGTTTACCCATATGAACGCCTTAAAATAACATCTACAGATCCAGTAGCCGACATTGATGTGACTAAACGAGAGGTATAATGGACTATCTAGCTATAACATCATATTCTCTTCTCTACTTTTCATCTTTTTTGTTTTTTTCACCCATTCTTTGGAAATTGCAGCTTATAATTAGGCTTTCTTTCATTTTAGTTGTGATTTGTTTGAGCTTGATGCATGCAGACTTATCTATCATCTGTGGAGTTCAAAGAGAAATTTGGGATGTCCAAGGATGCTTTTTACAAGTTGCCCAAATGGAAACAAAACAAACTCAAAATGGCTATTCAGTTATTCTGATTCTTGCAGGTAGAAGTAGTTTGGATTAGTTTACATTATTTTTTCCTTGACATTTCTATGATACTTTCCATACTTCTTCTCGTGTCTCGTCTTATATCTCAGGGGGCTTCTCTGTTTTGCAGTGAGAAACTGAACATAGGGAAGTACAAGGGACAGCATCAGTGTTTTTTTTTAGCATAGCTGCTTCTGCTCCCAGGAAACTTTTCTTGAAGAGAAACTAGAAATTTTCCACCTCTCCCCTTCTCTTTGCAATGGTTTGAATGTTTAGTGTTATTTCTTTGTTGAGTTAGCTGCGTGGCATTAATTTTATAGGGCGCAGGTTGTTTGCGGGCTTGCTTTTTGTATTTTTTTAATTTAAAATTGTTTTGGTAAAGCAATTGGGGTTGCAAATGCGGTCTACTTAGGTTGTATTGATTTTGAGGATGAAGTGTGTACAGCAGAGTGTAAAAACCAGTCAACTCGTTATTTTTGGAAATAAAGTGTGATTCTTTGTTCTTCTCAATTGCAATTTCCAAGCACGCCACTGAAAGGAGCAAAAGGGTCAGCTAGGAAACTGTTTTGTCCTTGTGAAACAGGTTAAGGACCATTGGATATTCTAGGGATGTGAAAAGAACCAAGAGATGCGTAAAAGAACAAAATAAAAAATAAAAAAATTGAACCGCGAATGGAACTGCAATTGAAAGAATTTATTTTTTTAAATTAGTTTATGGACTGAACTGGTTTCATAAATGAGTTCATGAATCAAATTGATTTTTAAATAATAAATTCATGGATGGAATTGATTTAAAAAATTAATTCATGAATTGAATTGATTTTTTTTCTCTTTTTCATTAATTTATTTAGTTCCTTTTTTTGTTTTATTTATTTTTATTTTATTTTTTTAATTGTTTATTGCTTTTTTTTCAATTTTTAGTATCATTTACATTTATATATTTTTATCCATTTTTTTTTTACTTTTCATTTGAATTCAGAACTGGTTCAAAAATCAATTTTAGAGTGTGTGAAAGAATAAAAAAAACTAATTTGCAATGCACTTAAAAACTAGTTTTTAAAAAATAATTTATTAATTGAATTGGTTTTTTGGAAAAATCAAACTAATTTATTAATTGAATTGGTTTTTTAAGAAATCAACAGGTTGATGAACTGAATTGGTTTATTTGTTCTTCATCTTTTTTTTTTCTCTTTCTATTTTTATTCTCTTATTTATTTATTTATTTAGTGTTTTTTAATAATTTATTTCTTTAATTTTTTATTTTCACTTTACTTTTCTTTTATTTATGTTTATATTTACTTTATTGTATTTTTTATTGTTTATTGTTTTAAAAATATATATATATAATATCATTTATTTTTTTTCAATATTTTTCGTACTTTTCATTTGGATTCAAAATTGACATTAAAAATCAATTCTTAACTGGTTCATAACTAATTCTGAATTGTTTTTTTTTTTAATTCAGTTCATCAAATTGAAATGCACACCCCTAATTTGAATTGTATGCATTATAGGATTTATTAATCTCCTACAGTAGGAGATGTCTTACCTCATGCTATAGAAACAAATCATGTGGGTCCCACTATTTTTTAAAAAAGAAAAAAGAATGACACAACTTTTCATGTCTCACTTGCATAAGAGAATTCTCTTCATCAACATAAGATAATTTAAACCCATGCATTATCCTGAATGGAAGGGAGGACACACACTAAACTAACCCATCACCTTTGAAATCTTCATTAAGAGTAAGTTTTCCATGGTTCTCCAATTACTTTTAGAAATAAATGCATTGGTTTACTATTGTAATTATGCAAACCAACTTCAAGCCACCATTCCCGAAGCTACTTAATCTTTGTTTTCTTCATAATTGTGGTTATCAAATAAAGTGAGAGTTGTACTGTTGGTGGTACATAAATGTGTCCCACGGAGGGTAAAGTATGTTAATATAAGGGTGCTCATAGTGACAATGGTAGAGACCAAAGCACTGTAGAGGCTTCCCATGGTGTGCATAAAGGGGGGGGGGGGTGTGTATGGTAAAGATGGCTCTGCAAAGGAGCAGAGTAACAACATAGGTTGAGAGTAGAAGAGAGGATCCCCCTCCATGTGTGAGGGGGTATTTAGAGAGAAGAGTCATCTCCAGCATGAGGGAGCGAACTGGTCAGTCCCATGGGCTGTCTCATCAAGCCATGTCTTGTCCTCAGACAAGGCATGCTGCCCACTGTCAGTGTACAAGGGCAGCAGTACGGGGAAAGGGAAATATCCCCATGGGTGCCCTCTAGAAGATTCTAGTATTGGGCTTTAAGAGATTGGACCCAACTGGTGTGCCTAAGGTAAGTATCCAGAACAGAAGCCCCCCAGCTTGGTAGCTTGCAGAGTTAGGGTGCCAAGATGTATGGTAGCTTAGGCCGGTTATTCGTAGTGTGTAGTGTTCCAAGTAGGATACAATTGAACCGATCAGTAGTACGTCAGCCTTTATGTCTTGTTTGTTTGTTGTCATCAAGTATGAATTGTCTTGTTAGCTATGCTTGAGTGCTTCAAGAGAACCTTTTATTATAGCTTGCAATTGTGTTGAACTTTTTTTGTCTTCAAAGATGTGCCTTGTTATTGAGGAAGGCCTTCAAATGTTGTTGAAGTAGCAACAATTTGATTGTAAGAATAAGTTGGCGAGCCCATGTTGAATCAAGTTTCCTGGAGATGAGAATGTGTTCCAAGAGAGAGAGGTATCTTAGTGATAAATATATATATCCCCTTCTTCAGAAATGAACATCGTTGGTGGCATAAATATATGATAAATAATGTCCAGTGACTTGGGCCTTTGATGTCTGGTGCTCATATTTAATACTTGCAACAACTAATATAGTAATATATGAATGACAATAAAAAGGTGCCTAGATGGGACGTTGGCTAGACCATCTAGGACTTCTACCGAGGGTGGAGACCTGCCCGGTCTAGAGAGATACTGGGGGTCCGAATCGCGCCAGTCTTCGGGGGAGTATTTCTGCCTGGTCTTGAGCCTTCACACATCTTTATATCGAGGGCGTCACGAGAGATACCAGGGGTGAGAACCGTTCCGGCCTTCATTGTATACCGGGGGTGAGAACCTTCCCCGCATTCATTGAGTGTTTAAGCAACTCATATTAAATTCATAATCATATGAAATTTATAATGATGCAGTTGGAGAGAAACATATATATGCTAGTGAAGAGAAGTTATTGCTAGGTGTTGAAAATAAAACCTAATCATGTGAGTCTTGCTCAACACTTTGATGTGTAAATTATGGTCGGACAACATTGAATATGCTGGTTGGAAGAGCAGCGCGGAGGGCTGGTCTTCTTGTTGGGAGGGCGGAAGGGCAGCTTAGAGGGCTGATCTTTTTGTTGAGCAGGGGGAAGGGTAGCACGTAGGCTGGTCTTCTTGTTGGGTGGGCGTGAGGGCTGGTCTTCCTGTTGGGCGGGCAGAAGGGCAGCACAGAGGGTTGGTCTTCCTTTTGGGCAGGCGGGAGGGCAACGTGAGGGCTGATCTTCCTGTTAGGTGAGTGGATGGTTAATGTGGAGGGCTGGTCTTCCTGTTCAAAGTGGGCCCCGGTCGTCCAACACCCTTGATCTTTCTACTTGGCATAAATTTAACGCATACGTGTGATATGCGCTCAGCATATAAGGAAATCTAAGCCAAAAAGAGAAAGAATGTGATTAAATCTTAAGCAAAAAGGGCAATAATCACTGTTGATCTGTCAAATTCTTAATCAGAGATTGCATACTGATTTTATGTTGATTTCGTAGGAAAATAGACAAATTGGAGCTAAAGAGGAAAAGCTAAACTGAAGGCCCACGCTCACAGCGTGGGTATGACGCTCATAGCGTGAAGAGAGCCCTTTCACACAGAGACAACCACGCTACTAGCGTGGGATTGACGCTAGTAGCGCTAGCCTTTTTCACAATCCACGCTTGCAGCGTGACAGCCACGCCAGTTGCGTGGTGCTCCAGAATATAGAAGAAAAACTCCCACACTCACAGCGTGACAACCACGCTAGTGGCGTGGGAGGTGCGGACAAATCAACTTAAAATCTTTTTTTAAATCAGTGGCAAAGTGGTGACTGCAGGTGAGCCCGCAAAAGAAAAAGAAATTGAAAAACCTGCGGAAGTGGAGAAGCCGGTTGAAAAGAAGAAGTTTGAGCTGAGTCCTGAATATGTGAGAACCATGGCACCCTATCCTGAAAGGTTCAAGAAGGATGCTCAGAAGCAACAGTATGCCAGGTTCCTTGATATATTCAAAAAGCTTCATATCAATCTTCCATTTGCTGAAGCCTTGGCTTGCATGCCGAATTATGCCAAGTTCATGAAGGACTTGTTATCAAAAAAGCATAAGCTGCAGGAATGTCAAACTGTAACACTCACTGAGGAGTGTAGTGCCATCATACAGAAGAAATTCCCACCCAAACTCAGTGATCCAGGGAGTTTTAAAATTTCTATTGAAATTGGGGATACAAAAATTGGCAGGGCATTATGTGATCTTGGGGCTAGCATTAATTTGATGCCCCTTTCTGTTTGTAAATCCTTGGGGATCACCGAGTTAAAGCCCACTTTGGCATCTCTTCAACTTGCTGATAAGTCTTTGAGGAAGCCTAGTGGTATTATTGAAGATGTTCTTGTAAAGGTAGACAAGTTCATCTTTCCTGCTGATTTTGTAGTGTTGGACATGGAAGGGGGAGCTGAGATGCCTCTTTTGCTGGGTAGACTTTTTCTTGGCCACTGCTCGGGCACTGATTGAATTTGAAAACGGGAAGCTTGAGTTAAGGATGAATGATGAAACCGTTACCATCAACGTCTTTGATTCTCTGAAACAGTCTTCTTACAAAGATGATTGTTTTAGTCTTGAAGTAAAAGACAAACAAAGTGTAGCGGATGATGCCAAGGAAGATGGTGCCATAAGGGTGGATTTGAAGGAGCTTCCTCAACTTCAAAAAAGTCTTCTTGGGTGATAAGGAGGCAGTGATTGAAGCACTGAAGGAAGAGGAAACTGAATTGAAAAATAAAGATCCTTTTTCCCATACCAACAAAATTCTCAATGAGGATGATGACAAACCTGGGAGGAAATCCAAAAGGAGGCATCATCCTATGCTGAAAAAGGTACTGAGCAAAGAAGTGGTGAAACTCTTTGATACAAGTTGGAAGAGACATCGGGAGTTGAAATTTGACAAGAGACACCGAGACTCTTTTTTATCTCAGAAAAACCAAAGCTTCAAAGAGTTCCTCACATGGATTCATTGTTTGGAACAAATCTGGGAATGATGGTCTTATACAACAAGGCATCCAGCACCACCAGATCCTCCATTTGCTGAATCATCCCACGCTGCTGAGGGGGATGACATTGAGGGTTGATCATATCTCCTTGCTGACGGAGATTTTGTATATTAGTTTATTTTTCAGTTTTGTATTTTTATTTTATCTTTTTTATTTCGTGTTGGTTTATTTCTCTCTGATGTTTTA